ATATTACTTCATACGCGAAGTTCGCGATTTTCAGAGTTGGTTTGAAATGCTATCTAACATGAAGCTTTAGTGTGATAACTTATTAGCTAGAGAATGGTCTTAGAAGAGGGTAGGTACGGGTTAGGCAAATAGTGTGCGTTTGACTTGCACTGTCGCATTAATAGCCCTTCGCTCATTTTCAACTTCTATTCAATTTTCATACTGCCGTACTCTAACGGAACTATCTGGGTATCTATCTTCTAAGACCATTTTCTAGCTAATACATTATCACACTAAAGTTTCATGTTAGATAGCATTTTCAACCAACTCTGTCAAAAGGTGGTCAAAATAGGAACATGGCTAATACTAGAGCGTTTCTCCTATATGAATTAAATAGCGGAGGAAACATTTACAATTCGTTTTCTGGTTTGATTACATTTTGGACATAGGCCCTTTCAAATGTTTCGCGAGAATTATGCTCTTTTGCATTTTTTAATAATATGAATGCAGCAATACAAAAATATGACTTGACTATTATTTGCCTAGAACATGTCAAAATGCTACCTCATTCCGGAAATAGTTCTAATAATAGGCAGTGGCTTCAATACGCCAAGCTCATCCGTGTTAGAGGAAACCTATATTCTAGACATTAATTTAGGAGATCTAAGAAAGCAATATTATTGATATTTTTTTTCTTGATATTTGATGTCTCGTATTTACATCTTCCTGATTATGTCATCGCAATACGAGCTGAAAAGCACTATAGATTCGAGCGTCACCTATGCGGCAGTAATACCATAGAGGTAACTCTAAGACTAGAAGGTCCCGAAATAACGTGCTCAACTTTTTGGCTCAGCTCTGGTACTATCTTCGGTCCCAAGCTAATCGATTCACCCCTCGAAACATAGGAAAAACCAATAACCCCTCATTTTATCTGTCAAACTTTCATAGCGAATCAAAACAAACATTGCGTAGTACTAGAATTTCGACTAGAATGGGGTACGTTAATCGTTTGCTTGACCAATAGGCTAGTCAAGTAGTGAGCCAATTTAAAATCGTTAGTTTCGTATTGGTTGTTGGTAATACGGACTAGTCAGAAACCACCAAAAGCTGGCTCTTTGTAAACTAAACAACTTTGTCCAAGTCTGCAAGTCTGTAGGAGTTATACCCACGGTACTAGAGCTTCTGGCCACGCTAATAGCCTCTGTGCGATAGCGTTTGGTTAACTGACATTCAATGACTCTTTTCCTTTGAAAATTTTAGCGCTGTAAAATCATAAAAGGGCTCGTGAATAAAAAAGTTATTCAAATTGATACTAAAATAACGGGATATTGCAATCGTTTCAACAATTTCCGGGAAATTTTTGAGATTTGAACCGGGAAGACCCTGAATTTCAAATTGAAAATAAACTGGCCAACATGTAGCAGTTTCCACCACAAATCGTTATCAATCATATTAATCATTCCGGGAACTGCTTGAATTGATTTGCTAGGCAGTCGAAACGGTTCATAATTCCGAACATTTCAATGTCTAGCTGGAATTATCCATGGGCGGGATGTGCTGTCAAATCGGCCTACTGAACATTCATCAATGGGCTGTAAATAGTAAGGCTCAGTGAATTTGTCAGCTCTTTCGTTCTCTCGCTGTTTAAACGGTTGAAGGAGTGTGACGTCACACTCCGTTATCTATTTAATCAGCCGTAGAACGAAAGAGACGACAAATTTACTGGGCCTCACCTGTTTACGTTCATTGATTTGGTGAATTGGGTTCCAAACATCAACAAACCATCGTTAATTATGGCTTTGTTGTCGTTTGGAACCAGTTATTCGAGGTAGGCGACGATTGTTCGTATTTGACAGTCATTTCCCCCCAGAAATTATCAAAGAAAGATCTCAGTGTCTAAAGGGTGAGTCGATAATTATTGCGACACTTTAGAATGATTGTCAAATCGGCTATAGTTATCGAAATGAAACCAAATTGTTGCAAATGCTCGACATTTACGATTGACGCCCTCCATCAGAGCCTGTATACACGTTTCCGGTACGTTTGCGCTTCATCATGGCCCAATAGGTACCCATGAACTATTCCTGTCCCGGCAACGGCCTAAAATCCGGTTTGATGTAGGTCTCATCATCAATGACGCAGTATCGGTATTTCGTTAGCAGCTTCGTGTGGAGTTTCCGGGCGCGCGTTTTGGCTGAACAAAATCCTTTCGCGAACGGTTTGCTGATTTTCTACCATCTCGACCGAAAACTGCACAACTGAGCGGATGTAAACAATACACTCTAAAGAAAAAACTGGGCAAAATTTGGTTAATTTCGGTCAATAATTATCGACTCACCCTTTATACTGGTTTGATAACAGGACAATTGTGCATGTAAATATCACTAGAAGTTAATAGGACAACTTCAAGAGGATATGTGTCGATTCTGTGGCATAGAAAAGGAAGACTCTGAACCTATTGTGCAGCAATCTTCAAAAAAAGGCGTATTTTTCTAGATAAGGGGCTGGCAGAACCCTTTGATATTTGGAATGCAGGTCCCAGTCACGTAGTTCATTTCATTCGAAATGTAATACCTGGCTGGAAAAATTCTTTTGGTCAGTCTGAGTCGGTCGCTTCACAAAATAGTGATACGACATACTGATAAAGCAACATTAAAACGGGGAATATATCACAATAGATCAAAGTAATGGTCGCAGTGATGAATATATCCAATACAAAATAAGAAGTGCTTCAGCTAAATTGTTCTACATCTTTGATAATTTGAACTCCATAGGGACCACCCAAATTAGCACAGCATAGCTCACTCATAAAATAAAACACATAACCAGTGGAAAATATCCATGTGAATTTCACATAACTTACATGTGATCCCATAATTCGAAATTGCTCCACTAAATCACATGAACCTTATGTGTCCAATGAAAGCTATATGATTACTCATTAATTTTGTTATTGGAAAATTATTACGTGCATTCCTAATAGAAACTATGTGAAAACTTTTTTCAGTGTATGCGATTGTACAAATCGTAGGTGGCTATATAATGGTCAACTAATACGTTTTGCAGAGAATATCGTGCTTGAAAACAAGCATTGCATTATACACCTGGCCACATCCTTACAATCGCAGGGGAAAAAGAAGGAAAAGTTAATCCAACATCTACTTGAGAAGGTGCAGGGAACCCATACTACCTTCATAGATGTCACAGGAAGTGAATAGTTGTGTTAGTGAGAGGGTGAATGATTAGGAAACTCTATTCGTCAATAAAGAGCGTTTGATAAATCCGGAATATAAATAGATAAAATGAAAGGATCTCACCCGAATGGTCTAGTGACTTTGCAGTGTCATGTTCTCGGAAAAGCTTTATTTAATTTTCCTTGAACCACCGCAATCTCTGACAACACTCTTCTAGCTTATCCCCCTTCTACTCGTACGCACAATACATCGCACTCCACCCATAATCAAGGTCATACATAAATGAACCAAAAGGTGCAAATCTAGACACTACAAGAATAATCTTGATTCTTCCACAGGGATCACCCTAATTAACCAAACATATATCTAAAATCACCGAAGACACCATAAACCTAAAACTTACGATTCAAGCGCCAACATTTTTGCTTCGGCTTTGGGATCACTGACGTAAATCTGAACTTAACTGTTTGTCATTTAGTAGTCCTAGTCATTTCGAACAAGTTTGAGACAATCTATTAAATGGCATGACCAGAATGAGAAAATTTCAACAGTAAACGAGATATTTTCGCTGGAACCCGATCCAGAGTTATGGTTTGTTATTAAATAAGGGTTAGTCTATCTATTCGGCATGACTTCATATTGGAATTTGTACATCCTAAGGAATGTTTGTTTGGGGGGAACGATTCCTTGCTAAAAATATGTATCTCCATATGCTATGGGAAAACCAGAAGACAGGATTCCGGGTAATCGTTCTCTCGAAAAGAGCCTTGAGATGTATCTATATTTCCATCAATGATAAATAACTTTGTGATAAATGGAAAAAATGTCCCCTACCCTCACGTATGATGGTAGGATCATTTCCCACGTTGCCACCATCCGGAGCGAGGTCAGGTCGACCCACATAGTGTGGCCTGACCCTTCAGAGTCGAGCAGGAGGGGAAAAAAAACTATATGTTACACATACTCTTCGCATAATCATCATTATCTTCATTGTTGAGCGATGAATCACCCACTAAGGGAGCAGCAGAAAAAAACTTATCCTCATTCAATTCCCATCAGTCACGTTGATAACGCTACCCATAGTCTGTTTTTTTTTGTTGCTTTCTCTCGCTCTACAGTAGCTCGCTCAATGCGGAATGATATAGGATTTTACTCTCCATTCCAGTACCTAGTGCCTTCATCAACAAAACCACCATCGTCATGGTGATCTGAAAAGCAAATACGGCTACCTACTACGTCTAGTGAAGCGCAATAACAACAATAATAGGACCCGCCAACCGCAGCAACAGTGCCTAGTTAGTCAGCTAGCAGTAATCGCCGGAGCGGGAGTACAGTTGAGTCACCACCAAGAGGCATTTTTACGGCTCTTACTTGCACTATGCCACTCTGAACCCGCTCCATTTTTCGTCCCTCCTATCCGGGCAAGGCCGTTTGGCATCATTGTGGAACACCTCCGTATGGCCCGCGGCCGGAACCGTAAGCACCCAATTCAGACATCCAAAACCAACGACGACGCCGACGACAAGATCAGTGATGCTGTTTTGCTTTCTCTTTTTGGCTGCTGTTTTTGCCTGCTCTTCCTCAAGCCTCCCACTCGGTGAAGCTTAGACTGGTCCAGGTGGAAACAACTCCTATCCAAGTAACCGTTCCATTGGTTCCATCTTAGAACCAAGTTTTCCCCAAAACGGACCAGTCTTATCTACTCGCATTCATAGCCCAGCGCGTCGAGACACGGTGGTGTTTCGTTAGCTAAACATGTGATTAACGAGATCTTCGCACTTTTACATTATTAATTTCCGTTTCCTCTCTTTTCTTTATTCGCAGATATACCTACATAGAGCGATTAGACGGAATTCTATGAGCAATATAATCTACCCGTAATTAGGCGAAAAATTCTTTACACCTTTCAACGGAAGGAGGGGAAAATCTTACTCTGAAGTGTTGTTAGTAGCTCCGTTTGCGAGCGAATTAAAGTGATTAACCACCAAAATAAAGTGTGCCACACAACAACGGGCTACGTGGCAAGTGGTCGTCGTCGTGTGAGCGTGGGAGTGACGAAAGATTAATTCGTGTACGCAGGAGTGGGTGTTGAATTCTTTGCGACCTGTGTAGGTCCTGTGGCGAAATATCAACAACAATACAAACGGCTGCCATAGTAGCAGCAGCAGCAGCAGTGTGGTTGAGCTCTAGGCAGCAGCAGCGGTTTCACAAAAGCAACTGAGAGAACGGAAAAAGCCCCACAATGCGCGAATACAAGATTGTTGTACTCGGAAGCGGAGGTGTCGGTAAATCCGCCCTGACGGTGCAGTTTGTTCAGGTGAGTTGAGTTGAATTGTCTTGATGGGGTTGGGATTCTTTTCTTTTGTATCGAGATGCCAATAATTCGAATTGTGAAGCAATCTTCATTCTATCCAGATATGTCGCTGCATAGCTGAAAACTGACTGTAGAGAAAAAACAGCATTTTTGTAATATCACATCGTAAACGGTGTACATCAACCTTCTTTATTCAGTCGATATACTGCAAACATATGTTTATTAATGATCATTAGCAGGCACCAAACTTAAAAGTATTGCCAGTAATGATTGATGGTGTAAGAGGAAAACGAAAATAATGATGCAAATGTTGACACAGAATCAAACAGGGTTTGATTTCATGTTCCAATATTTCTCCTCATTTCCCCTGCTCTTTGGCTACATCAGCTGATTGGGCATGAGGCCTGGTTCTCGGCAGCTTTCGTCAAGAAGATTGTGATTTAACTCTGAACGGACTCTGAGAAGCGGACATGGAATTCATGAGAACAATAAAAAAATCCTTCAAAGAAGAGCTCTGCCAACTTACGAATTGATTTTATTTTTTCCTCTCCGAACCACTTAGTAAAGGCTATTGGTTGGACTGAATAAAAATCCCTATAAATAAATTTGGAAAAGTGGAAATAATACGCTTTTGATGCATATTCAGGTTTAAAAAAAAATTGCCAATAACCTAAAGAAATCAGTCATGGACTTTGTCATTCGCTTTTGCCCGGAAATTATTGTTAAACAATCTGCAATAAAATCAAATATGTTTTATTTTGCTTTCCTACCAATCGCTACCCGAGCAAAGCTGAAGATCAAATCGAAATCAAAATTTGCTGTTATGATGTAACTTATTTTGAATACTCCAGTTGATCTCATTTTGGTTGACTTAACGGTTAACACAGCAAAAAAGAGAGCAAAATTTTACACTGTTGAAGCAAACGGAAAACTAATCCTGCTTTCAATGAAATCAATTTGATTACTGATTTTGCATTCATAATGTTTAACTGAATACGGGCCTAGAGTAAATGGTTACCATTCATGTTTCTCAAGCTGAAAGACTTAGGCTCCAATCTCACCGCGGGCAAGTCACGAATGACCTAAAATGTGTTAAACAAATCAGATAAACGATAATCATTAGTTCAACGACAGATGAATTTCAATTAAATTTTAAACAAGACGTAAACAGCAGAACTTCAAGTTAAGTTGCTTTCATTTAAAACGTCTTGACTGCATAATGAAAGCACAATATGATATCAGACTTATGTCGCAACATTTGAAATCAAAATGAGTTTTCATTATGATAGGAACTGCACACTTTAATATCGATTTGCTTTCATTTTGTTAACCGACTTTGCTCGGGTAGAGAGCCACAAAAAAATCTCTCTCACGAGCTCAATCTCTCAACATGCCATGAATTTTGATGACACTCGATTCGTGATTTCCCTCTCACAGACTTCAGAATAGAGTAGCTGGCACTGTAAAAGTTGTTGGTAGCCTTATTTATACACTATAGGATTAACATCCGAAGACCTCTTTTGTGCATACTCGGCACAAACATACTTTCTAATAGAGCCGTATAAGAGAAAGAAACGCGAAAATAAATAAAATAACTGGCAACATGACAATATTTTTTCACACGAACTAGCAACCCTAAACGTTGTTCTCACTTTGCATGACTTACCGCTTTCGTTGTTATTGGTAATAATTGAAGATTGAGTTCAAACGATACGGAAGATATGTTAACGATGATTCTCAATTTATTCTCATATGTTCTAATTCATCTCCTTACCAAATACCAAGTCATAGTGCTAATCCTACCGAAGATGGTTTTATTTTATTAAAATATAGTTAAAGAAAAAGATTATTCAAATAATTTAATTCGATTTGTTTTCTACCCACTGACAGATCTTCTGTTCGATTGGCTGCACTTATGTGACACTTCAATTGGCTGCAGATTCGACTTCTCGCTTCTCTTTGTTACAGGGCTCTAGCTCTAGTCCGTTCCCATTCATAAGAACGACGGAAAATCTTGTTAGGGGCGGGGCTTAGACAGTATTGTTTGTACCGAGTATACAAAATAGGATGGACTTCGAATGTGAATCTAAATGCATATATAGAGTAAGTGGGGGTTACAATGGATCAGAATGTCAAAATTGTACGTTCCCTACTTTACAACATTCACATTTTAGCAAGAAAAACAATTTTAAACTTGTGCATATATACATCAATGATGTATTTACGACTGTCAAATTAAATAAAAATAGACCAACGGAAAACCTTATATGGGGTGACATTGGGCCAAAACATAAATTCGATTAAAATATCTTAAAATATGTAAATGTAACTTAGCTATTAGGAGTACACTTTGTAATGTCACAATGTACTTCGTATGTATGGCTAAAGATCGCGTGTAACCCTTATCTATTCACATAAAAGTGTGTGCAAACTTTTCTTTGCCTGTGGACATTAAAAAAAAAAAAACGGGGCTTCGCTACTATTTATGACACTTAACTTTACAGTGTTATTTAAATAAAACAAATGGTTAATGTTATCTATACTTTACTCCAGGAGTTCAAGGAACATATTGTAGTCATCATTTCAGGCGTAACATTGTATAACGGCACAAAAGCTTTTGTAAACAAACTTTTTAAGGCCCTTTACACACGAACCGAAGTACGCGCGGAGAACAAATTCGTTAAGTTAAGATAACAATCCTAATAGTTACTTTCACATGGAAAAATATTGTTGTTTGAAACAACAATTAATTTGACCGTCAACTCAATCATATATACCTAATAGATTCAACTGTTCATCTTATACTCAGTTCAACTATAATTTTGATCAATTATAACAACCGTCAAATGTAATTTAACTAAGTATTAAACTAAGGACACGGGATATACTGGTCGCAGTGGTGTTAGGTCCCGAACAGAGAAAAAAAAAATGGAATGTATATATATATATATATATAGTCAAATCAACTATAGTTTCGAGTTGTCTCTAGAACAATTGAACAATATAGTTATTTTGACCGGAAAAATAATTGCGTCTGCTATAATTTGTTCTCCGTGCGCTCACGCAAACTAACATCATCCGCTAGGGACAACTCTCACCTTTCCGAAAGTGGAATTGGTTTGCGTGGGCGTACTTTGGTTAGCGTGTAAAGGGCCTTGGAAAGATTGTTTACAAATGCTTTTGTGCCGTTATCAAATGTTACGCCTGATTTGCTGTAATTTGGAGACATTTGCATCAATAAACATTATTCCTAATGTGTCACCCCGTCTTACGGTACCTGACATGTTTGCCAGTGTCAGACACTCTATTTTGTAGTCTGTGAAAGGAATTACTAGTTTTTTTTTACCGCATGATTTTTTTTTTAAATTACCGTGCTGGTTTGGGCCAAAGGTTCTCAGAACATTATGAAATTTCGCCCACAGGTATAGTATAGTTTATGATCATATGAACAAAACAAAAATTTAAAAAATAAATTGGGATTGTCGATTTTTCGGTGGGGCAAATGTTGTATAGTAAGAAATTATTTCAGTAATCCATTTAAAATATAATTTAAAAAATGTTTCCCACGAAAATTTTCACGATGAAGGAAAATCTAAAAAAATAAACAGGAAAATCCTGTTGAAACATGCGCATTCAATCTCGACGACTTCTAATTCTGCATGCAACACCTTTGACTCTTGACCTTAGCCCTCATTTATTTTCGGCAGATTTCAATCGACTCGCATATTTTCGTAGACGTTATGCTTCTGATTATCTGATTATCATATTACATATTACTATACATCAAAAATTCGCAATGAAGAGGGATCATCAGGGCTCCCAAAAGAAGCGATTTGGGTGGGAAGAGGGAATATGCAGGGTGTCTACTACCTATAAAAACCTGGAGAACCGGGAATTTACAGGGAATTTTATTTTTTCTGGAAAAACCTGGAATATTCAGGGAATTTTCCAATTATCACTTCATTCGTAATTCAAAAGAAGTTTTTCGTTCAGTTTCTCGAAACGTTTCTTAAGGACACCGAACTTGACAACCATCTGACAGCTAAGGCTCTGAACCATTTGGTGGATTATTTTAACTTTTGGTTAAAATTTAACAGATGGAAAGTTATCGATTAACCCTGCTATCCGAGCATGGTTATTTCTGACAGACAAGAAGTTAAATTTTGACAACCGTGGCTCGAAAACCGGTCGATCGACAGCACAGGGATTTTCGAACATAGAAAATAACTTTCGAAATGTCACTTTTAACTCGGCAAATGGTTCACAGCCTAATACAACGTGTGCGAACGAGACAAGTTCATTCAGAGAGTCATGTCACGCTCGCTCTTCGCTGATTTGTATGTGGAGGATCAAAATCGTCGTACAAAAGGAAACAGCCGAAAAAGAGAGACTGGCAACCATCAAAAGGAAGCATACGAAGCATGTATTGTATAAGAATAAACATGCGAGACAGCAGGTCTGAGAGCCTTCATAGATTTTTTTGAGCTTCAGAGAGGGTCGAAGATCTACTGAGAAATTTGTTGAGCTTCAGGGTAGTTCGTAGATCTTGAGAACAGAACTACAAACAAATTAAAAGTTATTAACAGAAATTCATAAAAACAAAATCACAAGAGAGGTCGTCGATCTTCAGATAAATGTTCAAAGAATTTTTCAAAACTTCAAGCAAGCAAAAATAATTTCAAATCAATTTGTAAAACTATATGCGAAATTTTGTAAATTTTCAGGGAAATTCGCATAACTTCAGACAAGTCCAAGAATCTACAGTGAAATACAGAAGTTTGGAGATCCTCGAAATATTATTCAACATCAGAAAAGTTCGTAGATCTTCAGAACAAAGCTACAGAACTTTGGAAAAAAATTAAAGGACTTCTGAAAAAATCACAAGAATCTCAGAAATGTTAATGGATCTTCAGTAAAAATTGCAGAACTTCAGGGAAGTTCAGCGATTTAAAAAAAATATTTAAACGATTTCAGGAAAATTTGTAGATCTTGAGAGAGACATT